CAACATCATAAAGAAAATCTGGTGTCTCCATTACTATTGCTGCCAAATTTTGACATTGTAAATAATGTAGTTCTAGATTCTATGCATCTTTTATATCTTGGAGTCATAAAATATTTAATGGAAAATTGGATTTTGAAGAAAAGTGTTGCACGACTTAAGAGAAAAATAATAAAAAGTTTTCGCTGTGTAATGTTAAACATAACACCCAACGTACTTTGTGAATTTCAAAGAAAAAAATTTGATATAAATCTTGTTTCAAGGTGGAAAGCTACACAATTTAGATTTGTACTTTTGTACTGTGGTTCTATTGTTTTGAAGGACATTTTACCCGAACATCATTATAAACATTTTTTACTGTTATTTGCAGCGTGTCGTATATTAAATAGTAGTGAATTAATAGTAAATCATTGTGATTATGCTAGATATTTATTGACACAATTCTTTACATTATTACCGTCGCTGTATGGAGAAGGCTCTCAAGTACTCAGTATGCATAACTTGATTCACTTAGCAGATGACGTTGTAAATCTTAATATTCCATTAAGTAGCATTTCAGCTTTTTGGGGTGAAAAATATATTGGTTTTTTTAAAAAAGTAGTGAAATCATCCAAAAAGCCACTAACTCAGATAGTTAATAGATTATCTGAATTGGAATCTGGAGATCAGAAGAGATTGAAAATTACAAAAAGTAATATTTTCTCAAAATATGTCATAGATAATGCTGCTGGATTATTTAAATATTGTGAAGATGATTATAAAATTATTTCATCGATTAAAATATATTCTTCTACTTTGAAATCAGTTCATCCTGACAACTTGATATTACTAAAAAATTCAAAAATCTTCATTATTGAAAAAATTATAAGGAAACTTACGATATAAAGGAGAATGTTACTAACGAAAAAATTTTTGTTCTTGGACGTGAAATGATAAATAAACGCCAAGTATTTAATTATCCACTTTCATCAGAGCAAATAGGAGTTTTCATTGGAGATGGATTCAT